CTGAATCTATACTCTGGCATACCAGAAGACTGGTGCATTCTGGGCACACAGAGCCCTTGCTGGTCCTCCTGGAAGGACTGAAGGCATGGTCCACAGGCATGTGCGCCCGGTGGGCATCTGGCCCGCCTCTTCAGGGCACAGTCCAGGCTTCCAGGACAGGTGGGAGCATCTGAGGAAGAAGCAGAGGCATGGCCCATCTCATCCAGCTTGGCTGAGTCTCAGGACAACAGCAGCCCTGCTTAGAAACCCCTCCTTCCACAGAGCTGGCCAGGCCTGTCTCCGGCCATTGTTCTGGGCAGGCCCTGCCTTCCTGCTGCCAAGTCTCAGAATCAGGAAGCCAACAGTCCCAAGTCTTTGGAGAACTACCCTGCCCCATCCATTCCTCCCAGTCCTGCTTCCAGGCCTAAGCCTTACCCTTAAAGAAGAACTGACCCTAACTGTCCAGTCAGCCTCCAGAAAAGGACTGTATAAGTCCTCCAAGGCTGGCTTTTGACCTTTGTGTGGCTCAGAGTGAGCCAGGACCTTTCATCCAGATTGCTACTGAGGACAGAGCTCTATTCTCTCTTTGACTCAGGAGCAGCAAAGGATGCTGGGTAGCCATTTCTCCTAAACACTGGGTGTTCTCCCTAGACACCATCACATAATCCTACAACCCTAGAGTATAGTCTAGCAGGCCACAGAACAAATGCCTAGCCTTTGTCTTTAGAGCAGAGAGAAGCCATTGGGATTTGGGAGACCAGCTCAGATGGAGCTATCTAGATACAATGAGAGCATTGAGAGGCCTGGGCTGGTCAGCACTGGGGATGCCAGTCTAGTCATGGTTCCCAGTCACATTTTTTTGTCTTCCTCATTTGAAGCCCAGAGCATGATGTTCTGCTTACACATGCCAATTAGGACCATGCTGATGGAGGTAGATAGAACAGTGACCCTCATGCCTCAGTTTCTCCTGTGGGGTGTATAAGTTCAGTTGCTTCAAAACTAAGGAATATTTCCAACCTGGGACCCTGGTCCCTGTCCCAGGAAGCCAGCAGAGCCAAGGGAATACCCAGCAGGACATCAACCTTGCCTGGTGAGTGTCTCTGGCCAATCAAGTCCTTCCTCTCCTTAGCCCAGCCACCACAGCACACCACAGGCAATGCCAGTCGGCCCCCTGGGATGTGGAGAACATTTTGCAGCCTTTGGCTTAGTTTCCGTTTGTAATCTGACACTCTACATCTACTGGAAAGAAGTTCCAGCAGCCCTGATGGCAGGTGTGACACTGAATCCCAGGCCAGGCCCTTCTATCCTCCATAGGCTGGATCACCAGACTCCAGTGACAGCGATCTGGGCTTGGAATAGTTAAACATTAAACCTGTGCCAGGAGGTTTACATGGACTCCACCCACCAGCTAAGCTCCAGGGAGCCACATAGTCCCTGCCCCTGGTGCTGATAACCTAGTCAGATCTATACTAGAGGTGTGCAGCACAAGGCTGGTTTGGGCCTGCAGGACCTCCCTAACCCACCAGCCTATTGTTTAATCTTGGATAGAAAGACCCTCTCCAGCCTGGGTGTGACGAGGAGGTCCCAGGAACAACAGTAACTGGAGAGTAACTGGTATTCTACGCATTCTGGGCTACTGGCCCTCCAGGTGTGGTAAGGGGATGCTTAGGGACGGACAGGTCAAGCTATGTCTCTGTATTCAGCTACCGTGGCCAATGAGCAGAGGCCAGCACCTGCTCAAGAAGGGGTTCAGCACTGGCCCTGTAGTCCTACTCCTGAGGGGCTCCACCGGGGAGGCAGGTTCTTCAGCAGGTGGCCTGTACTACCTCTGGCAAGGCCTGGTCTGGCCCTCCACCCTCCCCAAGAGTCTCTTCCAGTCACGCCAACCTTCAGTCCAGGGTTGTTTGCCCGGGAGGAGGCCTGCCCGGCTCTTAAGGCCCCACACGCAGAACAATCTCATTCAAGTCCCATTTGTGCCACAAACCAGTCACCTCTCAGTGCCTCCGTTTCCTCATCTGTAAGCTGGGCTCAAAGCACCTCCCCTTCAGAGCTCCAGAACTCAATGAGCATATGGGCACCCTCTCCCACCTCACTCCCTTCAGGGAGATATGATTTGGATCCTGTAGCTTCAGGACCCATCTGGCAAGAATGTTTTCCCAGACTGGGCTCACACTCTTTTGAAGGGTCAACATACAGACCTCAGTCCAGAAGACAGGGTGGCACTGTGCCCTCCAGGGCAGGGGATGGGGGCAGCTTGACCCCACTAAGTTGGAACAAGACCCTAATGGGCCTGGAACTCTTAGACCCTGCCATGGGAACCCACCCCAAGAAACGGCTGACAGCAGCAAAGGCCCACAGACACCGGGAACAACCTTGCCGATTGGAAACGGCAGAGACACAGAAACAAAGACACAGGATCCCCTCTGAGGGCCACCGGGAACCAGATGGCTGCAGACGCCCAGAAAGACATCCGGAGACACACGCCGAATTGGCTCAGGGACCCAGAAACAAAGACCAGAAGCTCATGACATCTACGTTCGTCCCCAGGAACTCATCCAACCTGGCCTTCAACGGGCCTGACCTGTTTACCCAATCCATGCCCAGCAGACCGGACCTGCCTGGCCTGCGGGCCCGGGTGAGGCCAGGGCGGTGGCAGGGAGGACGAGGGTGGCGCCGGGGGCTAGGATTCCCCGCCCGGCGATCCCGGCCCCGGAGCGCCCCGCAGCCTGCGCCCAGAGCGATAGCTCACCCGGGCGGCGGGCGGTGGCACTGTTCAGGGCCGCTCCGAGGATGAGGCCGGAGAGCAGCAGCCGCAGCAGCCGCAGGTGCCGCGAGGAAGGCGGAGGGACCGGCGTCGCCATGCTTCAGCGCCGCCACCCGGGCAGCATGGCACCCCGCGCCCCCGGGCTCAGTACCGGCTCCGGGAACCGTGACTGGAGAAGCCGGGAAGCGAGAGGGGGCGGAGGAGGAAGAGGAAAAGAGGAGGAGGCGGCGCTGACGCTGCGGCAAAGGATCCGGGATGCGATGGAGGATCAGTGGCCAGAGGAGCGAGTAGGGAGTGCGCCTGCGCGCTCCACCTGCGGGGGCGGGACATCTCCAGACTGAGCCCCCTCCCTCTGCGACCTGTTGAGGGTCCCCTTTCTACAGGCGACTAAGTGCCTCGGGCCCTCCAGCCTCTGCAGCAGGATACCTTCTCATTACCCAGAAATCTGGTTTAGGATTGACTAGGAGTGGGCGTCCCAAGATACATGCCTTCCTCTTAGTGGTCCGACTGCCAAACCGTAGACCCTATTAGAGCGGAGGGCCTCAGACTAGGCGAACACCAGGAGCAAACACTGGCTGTCCTGGAACTTGCTATGTAGACCAGGCTGGCCGTTGCGGGCTTGCAAAACGTATCAAAGGATAAACAGGTGCACAGAGACGCACAGGTGTACTCAGAGACGCCTCCTGGCTTTCTAAGCCGCGAAGTAAGGCAAACACAGCAGGCTCACAAGTAGATCGCTCCTGACGCCACTTTCCGAGTGAGTCCACAAGGGGGCAAAAGTAAATTGACGTTGCTGCTGACAGGCGTCTGGGAGCTGTCCAAGGTGGTCACTGTCCCAGGTAATGGTTTTCAGTTCCCTTGAGCCACACAACATGGAGCATTCATGGTGCCTTGTATTCAGTCCCCTGAGAACACACCCCATCCCATCCAGAGACCTCCCACTGACTCAGTCAAGAAAGCAAGGTTGAAGCTAACTGTGGTAGCAGACTCCTTTAATCCCACCACTCGAGAGGCAGAAGTAGGAGGTTATCTGTGAGTTCGAGACCAGCTTGGTCTACATATCAAGTTCCAGGACAGCCAGGGATACACAGTGAGACCCTGTCTTAAAAATGTAAAACAGGCCGGGCGGTGGTGGCGCACGCCTTTAATCCCAGCACTCGGGAGGCAGAGCCAGGCGGATCTCTGTGAGTTCGAGGCCAGCCTGGGCTACCAAGTGAGTTCCAGGAGAGGCGCAAAGCTACACAGAGAAACCCTGTCTCGAAAAACCAAAAAAAAAAAAAAAATGTAAAACAGATACCGGGTGGTGGTGGTGCAGGCCTTTAATCCCAGCACTTGGGAGGCAGAGGCAGGCAGATCTCTGTGAGTTCGAGGCCAGCCTGGTCTACAAAGCAAGTTCCAGGATAGTCAGAGCTTTTACACAGAGAAACCTTGTCTCAACCCCCACTCACACACACAAATATAAAACAGAAAAAAAAATCTTGGCAGGCAGTGGTGGCACACGCCTTTAGTCCCAGCACTCAGAAGGCAGAGGCAGGTGGATCACTGTGAGTTCGAGGCCAGCCTGGTCTACAGATCAAGCTCCAGGACAGCCAAAGCTGCACAGAGAAATCCTGTCTCAAAAAACAAAACAACAAAAATGTAAAACAGAAAGACAAGACGATTGAGTTCACCAACCCTGTACTTCTCTCAGTCCCTCGGGCTCACAGTGTCAAAGTGGAGACTTGCTGTTGTAGGTTTACAAAATGTATCAAAGAATGATGCTGTGTGTGCCTGTGCACCCCCAACCCAGCCTTCAAAACCCTGACTGAACAGAACTTGTGTCTGAACTCATTTCCCATAAAGGAGGCAGGGGAGAAGTAGCATACCCAGGCCATTCTTTTCTACTTAGAGAACACAGAAACTTAGGTGTGGAATGCAGGGCTGTTGACACTTCTGGAGCCTCTGCAGTGTGTGTGTGTGTGTGTGTGTGTGTGTGTGTGTGTGTGTGTGTGTGAACAACCTCGGGGTGCATCCTCAACCCCTACCTATGTCACCAAGGGGGACCTGAGGTTTGTTAGGGTTTTGTCAATCAAAGAAGATTCAGACCCAGGGACCACCCAGACCAGTGTGGAGGAGTGCCTTCGTCGCCTCAGGTCTGGTCCAGAAAGGAAGGAAGCAGGAAAAGTCAGTATCTTGGAACCAGGCTAGCCCTGAATAACCAACACAGCTGGAAGGGGGACCAGCATCAGAAGGGTGCCCCACCCTACGAACACTTCACTGCTTTAGGAAAAATCTTTTATTACAAAATTTTTACAAGTAGGCATTGAACTGACTCCTAGCCTGTAGGCTCTGGTGGCTGCCTTTCTAAAGGCCCAGACTATGCACAGGAAGTTCCAGGGCCCTGAAGATCAGAACAAAGGTCCCTCTCTGAACGGACCTCACCCTGAGTCACAGGCTGAGACCTGACACCCCAGGGAGAGAGAGAGGGAAGAAATACTTGAGAACTCGGGGCTGGAGAAGCCTGCAGGGGCCTACCAAGGCTTTCTGTGACTGTAGATGTCGATCCCCAGGCTGACTCAGTGTCAGAGGTGTCCTGGGGGTTGCGAGCAGCTCCCAGTGCACCCCTAGAGGGCGCCGGGCGACTTGGCGGAGCGCACCTGACGCAGGACCAGGACCAGCGCCGCCAAGAGCAGGACCGCGAAGAGCAGGAGGAGAGCGACCCAGGAGCTGAAGTGAGTTCCCTTACGTAGTCTCGGAAGGTCAGCCGGAATCAGGTTGGTCAAATTCAGCATGTAGCCCAGCGCCCAGCCGACAGCCGTGTCTGCGGCCTAAGAGGGGGCGTGGCGTCAGCTTCCAAGAGGCCGCGCCCCGAATCCTCCGGCCCCACCCATCACCCACCTTCTTTTGGAAGACCACTCCGCTGAAAGAGCGCTCATCGAAGCGGTAGCCGCGGCTTAGAAGCTGCTGTATGAACATGGCTCCGGCGCAGTAGTCAGCCAGGCGGGCCTGCTGCCCTGGCACTCGAGCCTGGAGCTAAGAAGAAAGCAAGACATCGTTAGATTAAGAACCACGAGGAACGATGGCCCGTGGGGTAAGGCGCCCTCCCTACAGCTCAGGCCGGAAATACACAGAAAGACCTAGTCCAAGACGCCCTTCCCAGGCAGACACTCCTCTGGGATAAACCACATGACTGCTGGAAGGCCTTGTGTCCTTCCTTCCAACAGCCAGATGGAGAGGACAGCAAGGGTAGCCACTAGGAAGCAGGAGAGTAGCACCCTTGCATCATAATCAAAGGAACAGAGGGCCGGCCTCGAATGCTGCTCTCTGACTCCTTGGCCCCACTTTTCTGAGACCTTGAAGTGTGCCTAAGAGTAGGAGGCCCCATTTCTCCAGATTTGGTGGCCACCTCACACTCCAGCTATCCAGAGCTCTCTAGTCTTCCTTACCTGGAACTAGTATTCAGCCCGCGGCCAGAACCAGAAATCTGGTGGCATACCCCAAGCCCTGCCGAGTCTCGCCTGAGGAGTCTTTTTTCCCGCTGGTGAGACATTCTTTGCCACACTCTGTCCTAGACACCTGCCTTTCTGTCCCTGCCTGCTTTGAGCTCCCTGTTGCCACAGAGCCTTTGCAATCCCACTTGCTCTCCAGCCCCCCCTGGGGCGGGAGAGATGGCTCAGAGGTTAAGAGCACTGGCTGCTCTTCCAGAGGACCCAGGTTCAATTCCCAGCACCCATATGGCAGCTCACAACTGTCTGTAACTCAAGTTCCAGTAGATCTGACACCCTCACAAAGTCATACAGGTCAAACACCAATGCATATAAAAATTAATGAATTAGGCCGGGCGGTGGTGGCGCACGCCTTTAATCCCAGCACTCGGGAGGCAGAGCCAGGCAGATCTCTGTGAGTTCGAGGCCAGCCTGGACTACAGAGTGAGTTCCAGGAAAGGCGCAACACTACACAGAGAAACCCTGTCTCGAAAAAAAAAAAAATTAATGAATTAATTCATTAATAAAAAAAAAAGATCAGGCCCCAAGGAGACCACTGAATTTCTAGCTTACCCAGTCCCAAGCTCCCCCTCTGGACATTTCTTGAGTCTGCCTATGACAGCCAGCAGTCTGAAATGACTGGGTCTCTCTAAACGTAGAGCAAATGAATGGCCCAGCCTCCCGCTCAGTCCTGGAGAATATGGGAGACAGGCCTCACCTCAGCCCAGGTCTGGTTGCAGACGATCTCCGTGGCTGCCTCCAGCTGCTGCAAGGTTCCCACAGGCAGCTCCATCACCGTCCTCAGGAAGTCCACAGTGTAGTAGAAAGCAGAAAAGGCCTGTGGGAAAAGGGATTGTGCAGTCATACTCCCACAAGACCCCAGATGCTTAATGCCTTCGGCCCCCACAGTCCTCTACCCAGACTCACTATGAAGTTCCCAGTCACAGGGGGCTGGAAGACCCCGTTGAAGGAGCATTGGGAAAAGGGGCAGGAGGAGAAGTTGAAGAGCCCAGAGACCAGGTCACGGCAGAGGGCAGGGCTGCTGGTCCCCGCGACTCTGACAAGGGTACTGCCATTGAAGGTCCGAGGACGCTGGCCCAGAGTGCATGGTGATTGGTAGACTTCCTGGAGCAGCACTTGGGTGGAGTAGCCCTTTGGCCAGCAGGGGTGGAAGTGGTGGGTCTGGGGAGTTAACCAGAGTACAGATAGAATTTTCTGCTGTAGTTGCCTTCCACCCCACCCCAGAGAAGCAGCATGATGAACTGTCCACAGATCCAACTTGGGAAACACCCCTTTTGTGTTCGTGAACCATCATGGCTAACCATTACCTGCTGAGCCAGGTATTCAAGGTTCTGTGAGATGGCCTTTGGCTCTCCTTACACTAGACCCCTATTCCTGACCCTTTATCCCATTGGATTCCTCCCCACCTGTCTTCAAGCTGAGGCACACCCAGCTGAAGAAGCACTGATCAGGTGATCTGGTGGTTGACCCACTGTGGGCCTCACAGCCATGTGTGCCTCCACGTAAAAGGAGGCCTCTCTTACAATCCCTGAGGTCAGTATTAGCTGCTTCCCTGGCTCTGCCCTGTGGCCTTTGGTCCCTTCTTCCTCCCTTCCTCAAGGAGGCACTGGTGCGGTATGGTGGTTGAGGTTGGAGAGGCACCTGGAGGGCACTGGCCAGCAGCCTCTGAAGAACCTGGTCTCGGCCATAGCAGAGGAAGCTGTGGGTGTAGACACGGTAGTGCTGGCCATAGAGCCGCAGATGGACCTCATTGTCTGGATCTTCAGATGGGCCGGTTGTCTCAAAGGTGATCTGTGTTGAGGCACCCCCAAGGTCCATGGCCCCCAGAGTTCCCTTCCTCGGCCGGACCCACCGGCCCACCCAGCCGTACTGTGGAGAGCAGAAATTGGGTTAAGGCAGTGGGCAGGCAAGGCCCGCAGGACCCCAGGCTCTTTGGGCCAGCTGCAGGGCCCACCTTGATGAAGTTCTCCAGCAGGTAATTGGCAGTCACCCAGCCAAACACCCCTTCATCCTGTCCCGAGAGGATTCGAGCACCACGGAAGTCAAAAGGGTACTGTGTGAGCGTCTCTGTCACTGCCTCAAGCACCCTGGCTGTGGCCTCTGGGCTGGTCAGGCTGTGGAATGGGGAGGACTCTGATGGAACTCATCCCCAGATGCCCTCTGCCAGGCATTCCTGAGAGCTTGCCCACGGAGGGGGTGTGAAGGGCTGTGAAGGCTGCTGGGCCAAGTCAGGGTATAGGTACTCACTTGAGTAGGCGCATGCCTGCTGTGGCTCCCAGGTAGAGCGGTGTGCTGGCATGTCTGTCTTTGGGCACATCCCGAAGTGCCTGTTCAAGACATTCAACCAGACTCTGGCCCGCCCTAGAAGGGTCATTTGCGTAGCTGGAGATGCCCCCACCTAGAGAGAGCAAGGAGTTGGACCCAGGCTTGGTAGATAGTTTCCAGGTGGGACATAGGCTGATGAGGCTGCTTAGACATACTCTCCCAGCTTAATCCCAGAGATAGCCAATTCAGAGACAAAGGGTCCAGGTGCCACCCAGAGTCTCTGAAGCTGCCGTCTGCCTGGTGGGTGTGCCTGGTGGGTGTGGGCACAGGTGCCAGGAGAAAGACTCAGGCATTGTCAGCCTAGCCTAGCCTCCAAAGAAGCTGCCTGGATACACGCTTAGATCCTCAGCGCACCACCTGCCTCGTCTGTAGTGTAGAGACCTGTCTTGGGCCGTTAAACCCCAATGATTCCACCTGCTCCCCAGGACTTCTGGTCCAGAACATAAGGTACCCACAGCCCCTCCCAGGTCCAGAGAACCCAGCCTCTCTTTTTGAACTCCTGCCTCGAGTAAGCCCCACCTAGCAGCAAGCAGAAGAGAATGCCTGTTTGGGCCTGTGAAGCTAAGACTGAACAGTAACCCAAGACCGTGCTCACCTTGAACATCACAAGAGCTGTGCTGACCCACAATGCCTGTGTCGTTCTCTTTGTCCGCCGGCCACTTGTACACAAACATGGATGTGTGCGAAGAGCCAGCATCCAGAACGATGCCGTACTGTGGGTGGGAGTGCTAAGTCAGCCTGAGGGACGGACGTAGGGACTCCCTTTAGCATTCCAATTCTCACCCCCACCAATTGTGTATTAAGGTACACGTTGAAGCTCAGAGACAGTCAAGGGCATTCACAGTGATAGAGCTTGAACGGAAGGAGGCTGACCAGGAGTTCCTGGGGTGACCCCCGCCCCCCCCAACTGCCTGAGGATGGCACTGCCGAGCACCAGAAAGTAGACTTCCTGGCAAGGACAACTGAGGGGCCAGGGACAGAGGGTCCCAAGAGCACATCGGGAACTTTGCCTTGGGGACACAAGGTCCTCAGTTCAGGGGGACCACACCCAAGAGCTACTCTTCCTTCTTTCTCTGCTCTACCTGTATCTGCAGAGACCTTAGCCTAACCTGAGGATGTGAAGTAAGGGCCGCTGGGAAAGAACATGACTGAGGCTGAGTGTAGGTCTCCAATTCACACCCCTCCCTGAGCCTAAACGCCAGGGTGAGTCTGGTTTTGCAGAGCTAAGGGGGGCGCTGGATGGGCCTTCTTTGCTGGGTAGCCTGCTCCAGGGGGGCTGGACTCCAGCTGAGGGAGCCTGGCTGGACACCAGCCTGGGGCATGTGCCAGTTCTAGCCTGGGAAAGGGCTGCTCCAGTCCTCCCGCACACCAGGGAACTCCTCCAGAGCCAGCCAGATACAATGATCCAACTCCCACACCCCACAGCCCATCCCGCATAGCTACAGAGCTCTTCCCCTTCCATCCTGGGTCCCTGGGGTTGGGATGTCCACTCTCCACACAAACTCAGCACAAGATCAACAAAAGGTTAGTTGCCAGCTTCTAGCCTGAGGGTTGGTGACGGAGACCCCTTTAGACCAGCGAGCTTTCTTCAAGTGTCACTGTTCAGACATTGGTCTGAGAGGGGTTGGAGGCCCCCAGTGCGTGCTGTCCCCCTATCTGGAGCTGAATCTAGAACCAATGCTCTTCTATAACGGCGCGCTCTGGGTGTTGCCCGGAAATCGCGCTGGACTAGGGGCGGGGGTTCTTGCCACAGCTAGGGGATATGGGAACCACATGAAGGGAGCGGGAAGACAGCTCCTCCGGGGAATTGGCAGCTTCATCGCGAAGCCGCAACAGAGGAATTCCCACGAACTTGGCCTCCAGTGCCGTGGAGCTCCGGAAGCGTCGCTGTCACCCCGCGGACTCAGTAAAATCAAGCGCGGAACCTAGGACCCGGCTGGAGGTACAGCGCGGCTTGGTCCCGCGCTGACGCGGGAGCCCAAGGCGTTCCGCCGGCGCGCTCCTAGATTCCCCGACAGCTCCCGGTCCCCGTCTCCCCCACCCCCGCCCCGCTAGTCCCCAGCCAGCTGCTTCCCAGACGAGCGCCTCGATGGGCGCGTGCACCTTGAGGGCGGGCGGCTCCCGGACGTCTTGGGTAGGAACGCACAGCAGCAGGAGGCCGGCGAGACCCACCGCAGCCAGCAGCAGGGGTGGCAGCAGTGACAGCAACTTTCCGGCCATGGGAGCGCGCCGGAGAACACCGCAGGGACCCGGGACAGCGAGCAGCGGGGAGGCCTGGGTGGCCCGTGGCCCAGGGTTAGGTGCCGGGGCGGGGCTGCAGGAGGCCCGCCCACATGAAGGCCCACCCACCGCGGGACCAGCCCAAAGTCGGCCCTGCCCCTTCCGAAGGCGCGCAGGTGACTGAAGAGGTGCGGGGTGACTCAGCCGCACCACCCCTTCTCTCTCAGGCTCTTGGCTGAATCTCCCTACAGCTCTCAGCCACGGTCCTCCTTCCCGGGCAAAGAGTGTGGCCAGCTCGGTCCTGGGGAGTCGTGAGAGAAGGATACCTGGTGTTGGGGATTGGCTGGACTGGTTGCTAGGCAGCCTTGCTTGGAGAGTGCTGCGCCCTCGGAGCCAAATTTGTCCCTGGCCTGGGAAAAGCAAGCCGGAGCTCTTTGCCGAGAGAACTAAGTTTCAACTGCTGGGTCTTGGCTGGAGGCTCAGAAGGTCCTAGGGGCTCGGCATCTGCTTGTGGAGCAGGCACGAGGGGCAGGGACGACTCCCGGGGCTAATGAGCACCAAGTGGCTCTGACCTGAGAAGGGCAGGCATGACCTGCCATCACACAAGCCCGCCCAGAAGGGAAACTGAGGGCAGAGGGAGCCTGATTCTGAGTTTTATCTCAGGGCCCTGGCCATCCCTCTTTGCCCGGGAGAGAGGCACAGAAACCTAAACTGAGGAGGCTACAGTTGCACACAGGTGACGTCCTACAGGACAAGAGTGTCCCAAAGCAAGCTTGGGTGCCGGGCAGCAAGAAGTTCCTGGACACTGACTGGGGGCTGGGAAGGCTCTCTGCTGCCTCTGACCTAACCCTACCCCTCCCACTGACCCAGTACTCAGGGCTTCCTGGCCAGGGGCCATGCCACTTCATGCCCTTACAAGATGGGAATTCCAGCAACACAAAGAATCCCATCCATGGGGCAGCAGGGAGCCATGTGGTGAGACCACCAGGAAGCAGGGCTGCTGGAGCTGAAGAGTGGCCTTTGCTGCAGGCATCTGGGCGATGCCTTGGCTGCTGAACCGGCGAAGACAATAGGGCTGGGATCGCTGCCCTGGCTGAGGGTCTGGTGTTTCAGGCCCAGCAAAGGCGCCTTTCTTCCAGCTCAGGACCCTAGAGGGGAGGAACCCGGGAGGTGGCTCAATCTCTTCCAAGTCCAGCTTGTGGGGCTCCAGAAAGGAATCTCTGGGTGTGGTCAGCAAAGGGCACCAGGCTCCAGTTTCCGGCTAGCTCTCCTCACCCCATGTTCCCCCAAGTTCTTTTTTCCACCCCTGAAAGGCCAGAGGCAGAGGCACCAGAGGCCAGGAAAGGAGGGGACAGCGCATGAAAGGCTATGGTTATGGGGAGCTGCCAGCCCGCCAGCACCCCCTCTTCCAAGCCAAACAGGGCACCCTGATGGGCAAGTGAGGACCTGAAAAGATGAGACAGAGATGGGGCAAGGCCTCTGGGCCTGCCCTGGGGAGACACTCGTGGTCGAGTACCCAGATTAGCCAAGAAGGGTGGGAGGCCCGGGGTTGGGAACAGTCAGGACAAAGGCTGAAACTGGCCAGAGCTGAAGAAGGGGCAATGGCTTCATGCCTTGGGCGGGGTAGGCCCCAGATGTGCTGTGTGTGGCTTGGCTCAGGCTCAAGTAGAGGAATGTGGAGGCTTAGAATAGGAGCCTCCCTTTCTCCCTCGCCGACCTCTGCTTGGGGCTTCCCTCTGGACCTGATGAGACCTTGGCTGCCCCTGCCTCGTTCAAAAGCTGAAATACCTTCAGTAGAAAAACATCCTCAGCAAGGCTCGCTTTCTTCCTTCCTTCCTTTCTTCTCTTCCTCCTGATCCTCCTTCTTTTGAAAAAATTACTTTTAGAGAGCTAGAGGTATGAATCAGGGTTAATGGCACATACTGCTTTTGTAGAGGATCTGAGTTCAGTTCCCAGCACAGACATGAGGTGGCTCACAACCTCCTGGAATTCCAGTTCAGGGACCTGATGTCTTGGCCTTGGGCACCTGCATGCTTGTGCAAATACACCCACACACATACACATGCCGCAATTAAAAACAATAAATAAAATAAGAATTTCTCCTACTGCCAGGTGGCGATGGTGCATACCTTTAATCCCAGAACTCAGGAGGCAGAGATAGGTGAATCTTTGAGTTTGAGGCCAGCCTGGTCTACAAAGCAAGTTCAAGGACAGCCAGGACTATGCAGAGAAAGAAACCCTGTTTCAAGAAAAAAAAAAGAAGGAGGAGGAGAAAAGAAGAAGAAGAAGAAGAAGAAGAAGAAGAAGAAGAAGAAGAAGAAGAAGGAGAAGGAGAAGGAGAAGGAGAAGGAGAAGGAGAAGGAGAAGGAGAAGGAGAAAGAGAAAGAAAAGAAAAAAGACTCTCCTACTGTCTTATTTGATTTTATTATTGTATGTGCACAGGTATTTTATTGCACATATGTCTGTGCACCATGTGCATGCCTGATGCCCATGAAGCTCAGAAGAGAGCATCAAGTCCCCTAGTACTGGAGTTATAACAGTTGTCAGCTGCTGTGTGGGTGCTGGGAATGAAATCTGGGTCCTCTGGGAGAGCAACCAGGGCTCTTCACCACTGAGCCATCTCTCCAGCCCCCTAATATAAATCCGTTTTTTTTTTTTTTTTTGGTTTTTCGAGACAGGGTTTCTCTGTGTAGCTTTGTGCCTGTCCTGGAACTCACTTGGTAGCCCAGGTTGGCCTCGAACTCACAGAGATCCGCCTGGCTCTGCCTCCCGAGTGCTGGGATTAAAGGCGTGCGCCACCACCGCCCGGCCATAAATCTGTTTTTAAAATAACTATTTTCTATTTTATGTCTATGAGTGTTAGATATATGGATATATGTATGGGCACAAAGATCTCCTAGAACAGGAGCTAGAGAACCTTGTGAGCTGCCGTTTGGGTACCAGGAAGTGAATCTGGATCCTCTGCAATTGCTCTTAACCATGGAGCCATCTTCCAGTACCTACTTCCCCATTAAAAAAATTGTTTTGGGGTGTGGACATGTACGTATGGGTGAAGTGTATATTTATGTGTGGGGAAATGTGTGCGCACTGATTAGTCTAGGCTGCTTGGCTAACTCGCCCCAGGCAGAGCTACCCTCTATCTCCTCAGTGCTGGGAATTCAAGCACAGGCCACCATGTCTAGCTTTGCCATCATTTTTGTTTTGTTTTATAGACGCTGGAGCTCAAACACAGGCCCTCATCCTTCTAGTAAGCACTGCGCAGACTGAGCTCCCTCCCCAGCCCAAGGACTTCTTTTCCTTATGAATTTATTCGGTCATTCAGCAAATACTTACTGGGTCCAAGTGCAAGGCAAAGATAGGTTTAGGCATAAACAGTGAGCCAAGCATGCTCTTGAACTTCAGGATGTGTGAACTTCAGGATGTGTGAACTTCAGGATGTGTGCGTGCGTGCGTGCGTGCGTGCGTGCGTGCATGTGTGTGTGTGTGTGTGTGTGTGTGTGCACGCGTGCGAGAGAGAGAGAGAGAGAGAGAGAGAGAGAGAGAGAGAGAGAGAGATCTCCATCTATTCTGAAGAGAGTAGGCTTCACAAAGGCTCGGAGGAAGAGGAGGAAGGCTGCCTTGTGAAATGTGGCCGGTTTGTAACTGGGTAGGTGGGGCTCAGGGTCAGCTGATAAGAATAACAAAAGTGGGAATTTGTGTGGAAGCACCCACATATTAGACACCTCCACCCCGGTGACTCTGTGCAGAGTAACCTTTCCCCACGACGAGAACACACTCTCTTGAATCAGAGACTTTTCTTTTTTAACCATGTACCTACACATCTCTAAATAATGTATTGACTTCCTGGTTTTCAATTTGAAAGAGTCACTTTATTGTTTTTTTTTTTTTTTTTTTTTTTTTTTTTTTTTTTTTTTTTTAAAGATTTATTTATTTAGTATGTATACAGAAGAGGGCGCCAGATCTCATTACAGATGGTTGTGAGCCACCATGTGGGTGCTGGGAATTGAACTCAGGACCTCTGGAAGAGCAGTCGGTGCTCTTAACCTCTGAGCCATCTCTCCAGCCCCACTTTATTGTTTTTAAGTACATGTATTGCATGTGAGTGAAGGTGTCCTTGGCAGCCAGAAGCACTGGATCCCCCAGGAGCTGGAGTCACAGGTAGTGGTGAGCTGCCTGACATGGCTCTGAGTTGAATTCAGGTCTTCTGCAAGGGCAGTCCATGCTTTTAGCTGCTGAGCCATCTCCCAGGCCCTGGTTTTCAATTTTATATTGACATTTGTCTCTAATGCTGAAATGAAACACCATGACCAAAGGCAAGTTGGGGAGAAAAGAGTGTTTTGACTTACCCTTCCACATTGGAGTACATCATTGAAGGAAGTCAGGACAGGAACTCAAACAGGACTGGAACCTGGAGGCAGGAGCTGATGCAGAGGCCATGGAGGTGGTGCTGCTTACTGGCTTGCTCTTTGTGGCTTGCTCAGCCTGTCTTCCCATAGAACCCAGGACTCCCAGCTTGAGGGGCAGATATCCCCGACCACAGTGGGATGGACCCTCCCTCCATCCGTTACTAATTAAGAAAGTGCCCTGCAGGCTTGTCTGCCTACAGCTAATCTCATGGAGGCTTTTTCTCAGCAGGGTTCCCTCCTCTCCGGTGACTCTAGCTTGTGTTAAGTTGACATAAAACTGGCCAGCACAGCATTGTTCTGAAGAGTGCTTCTTTTCCTCACACTGTGCTTTTGAAAGAAAAGCCCTGTTGACACTGAAGGTGTCACTCATGAGTTCTCAGTGTTGGACCTTTCTGATGTATGACTATTCAAATGGACATGGACTCGGAGCTGTTGTCCGGACAGTATCTTGAGAGCGCCACCATTGCCCGGCTCAATTACTGTATTTTAGAGGGCCACTGAGGCTTTCTCTGAAGAGAGAACACACTCTATCCTCTCTTCCATGAAGCACCTACTGCAGTCTCCCATCTTCTTTTTAGGGAGGGTCCATCCTGGCCTTCCTGACTTGCAGGCTCTGTGTGAAGCTCCCAAGGGGTCCGCACTCTGTTCCAGGCTTGCTGGGCTGGACTCATGTCTGAGTAAGTTACAGTGAGCTCATGGGATATTCCCTAAAGGGCTGCGGTTGGCTGATAGTGAGCCTTCCGTCCATCTGGATGATGTTTGTGTGTGGAATGTGAGGAAACCATCCTAGTCCGTGTTCTCCTGCATCACTGTCACCCAGGCCTCTGTAGACTGAGGGCTCTGTCCCCATCCCCCAGCTCTGCCCGAGATCTGCTTTGCGGTCTCTAGGACTCTGCCACTCACCCCCAGGGAGTGCTTTAGGGCACATCTTGACTTTAGAAGTTCCTTCTTTTTTGTTTGTATGAGTTTTTTTTTTTGTTTGTTTGTTTTGGTGGGTTTTCTTGGGGTTTTTTTGTTTGTTTGTTTGGATTGGTTTGGTTTTTTTAAGACAGGGTTTCTCTGTGTAGCTTTTGGAGCCTATATTGGAACTCACTTTGTAGACCAGGCTGGCCTCACACTCACAGAGATCCGACTGGCTCTGCCTCCTGAGTGCTGGGATTAAAGGTTTGCGCCACCACCGCCCGGCGATTTAAATTTTTAAAATTTATTATTTGTATGTCTATGTGTATAATATGTATGAGAGTGTGTGTATGTGTGTGATGTGTAATGTGTGTGTGTGTGTGTGTGTGTGTGTGTGTGTGAGAGAGAGAGAGAGAGAGAGAGAGAGAGAGAGAGAGAGAGAGAGAGAGAGCCTGCACACCTACATGGAAATCAGAGAGCAGCAGCTTTCTGGAATCAGTTCCCCCCCCCCCCTTGTACTGTGGCCAACAGGAATAGAACTCAGGTCATCAGGCTTGGACAGCAAGCTCTTCTACACACTGAGTCATCTCATTGGCCCAACTCTTTATTTTTTTCCAACAAAATAATTTTATTTCCTACTATGTGGTACATGCAATATGTGTTCACCTTGCACATTTTTGAAGTGGCTTCCAAATCATAACTGCTTTGATGTTTAAGCACATACTAAAAGTGTTCTCGGTTGAGATACGAAAGATTTTAGATAGCCAACATTCTGAGCATATTAAATTGGTCTCAGCAGATTTTCTTCCGATGGATGAGGTTTTTGTTTTTTTTTTGTTTTTTTTTTTTTTTTTTTTTTTTCGTTTTTCGAGACAGGGTTTCTCTGTGTAGCTTTGCGCCTTTCCTGGGACTCGCTTGGTAGCCCAGGCTGGCCTCGAACTCACAGAGATCCACCTGGCTCTGCCTCCCGAGTGCTGGGACTAAAGGCGTGCGCCACCACCGCCCGGCTTTTTGTTTGTTTTTTGAGACAGGTTTTCTCTATGCAGCCCTGGCTGTCCTGAAACTTGCTATGTAGCTCAGACTGGTCTTGAACTCACAGAGATCCTCCTGTCTCTGCTTCTGGAGTGGTGGGATTAAAGTCACGTTCCACCATCCTAGTTCCACAAAAAAAAAAAAAAAAAAAAAAAAAAGCCGGCCAGTGGTGGTGCACGCCTTTAATCCCAGCACTCGGGAGGCAGAGCCAGGCGGATCTCTGTGAGTTTGAGGCCAGCCTGGTCTACAGAGCGAGATCCAGGACAGGCTCCAAATCTACACAGAGAAACCCTGTCTCTAAAAAAACCAAAAAAAAAAAAAAAAAAAAAAGGAATATGAAGTGGAGAAACATCTTTCTCTTTTTCATATAAAAAAACCTTTTAGATCTATTTATTTATTTTTATTTATTTATTTATTTATTTTTTTTTTTTTTTGGTTTTTCGAGACAGGGTTTCTCTGTGTAGCTTTGCGCCTTTCCTGGAACTCACTCTGTAGCCCAGGCTGGCCTCGAACTCGCAGAGATCCTCCTGGCTCTGCCTCCCGAGTGCTGGGACTAAAGGCGGGCGCCACCACCGCCCGGCTAGATCTATTTATTTTATGTGTATTATTGCACGCATATTTTATGTGTCTGTGCACCACATGCATGCCTGGTGCAGGAGATCAGAAGAGGGCTTCAGATTTCTGGAACTGGAGTTATAGGAGGTTGTGGACCACCACGTGGGTGCC